GCCACCATCATGAGTCACCATGATGTGTGCTATCATCCCAGCCACCAGCACACACCACGCAGCAGCACACAACAGTTGAGAGGGCAGAACTAGTGACCAGTTGAGGGCAGCAGCACGCAACATGCATGGCGCACTGACCGGTTGAGGATGAGGACGAGAGCAGCAATGAAGGGGTCGAGCGTGTCCTTGCTCCTCTTCGTCACCAGCTCGGCCAGGAAGTTGAGCGCTGCTGTGCGCGCACTGTACATGTCCTCTATGATGTCTGGTAGGGGGGGAGAGGGGAAGGGAGGGGGCACGTATAGATTGCAGAGATTGAGAGGAAAACTGAGCGCTGCTGTGGGCGCACTGTCCATGTCCTTTACGATGTCTGAGAGGGTTTACATTGAGAAAAGATGAGGTGTAGTTAATTAAGGGCTGCTGGGGATGGAGCGGCGGGATGGAGTGAGGGTCAGAAACAGGGAGGGAGGCGGATGGCGGGTTAGTGGGTTAGAAAGTTGACATGAGCATCTTCATCCGTCCCTTCCTTTCCCCCCAATGCACCACAGTGCTCCCTCCCCGTTCACTCACCATATCCCTCGTCCCCTCTCCTCCCACACATATCGTATCCTCCCCCTCTTCCCGCCCTTGCACACACCGTAGCCCTTGCCGACGTATTCGAGGGGGTTGTCGGCCCAGAACAGAGCGTCGTGCCCCTCTCACCCCCCTCTTCCCACGCACCGTACTCCCCAATCCTTGCACACACCGTACTCCCCACCCCTTGCACGCACCGCAGCCCCCCTCCCCCTCCCAACCCCTGTACCCACCGTAGCCCTTGCGGACGTATTCGAGGGGGTTGTCGGCCCAGAGCAGGGCGTCGTGGTCGTTAAAGCACAGCAAGGGGAACGCCACCTCGAACTGCAGCACCTGCAGGTGCGGCTTCAACGACTCGTACAGCGCCTTCTTTGACAGACTGGCGGTGGGGAAAGGTAGATGCATGGGGACAAGCAGACAAGGGATGACCGAGTTAGGCTGGTGGTTGGGTGCGGAGGATGGGAGGAACAGTTTACAACAGTGGAAAGGCATGGGGGCAACAAGAGTGGGACACCGTTGCGTGGCATGCTGTTGTTGCCAATTCCATGGCATCATGCATGCACGCATGCGCACACACACGCACACGCCCACCCACACCCGCACCCATACACACACCTGTAGGTGACGTATTGCATGGCGAGGTTGATGATCCGGTCGGGCAGGCTGTTGGGGTCCGTGCGCACGGGTGCCAGCAGGTGCAGGTACGAGTTGAGCAGGCGCGCAGCACACTTGTCAGCGAACATGGTGGCGAATGCCTTGTCATCGCCCTTAGCGTACTTAGGGTTGCCGAACCTGTGGGGGACGTGGAGGAGAATGAGTGAGTGGTGACACACGAGGGCGGAGGTTACTACGTTGGGACGGCTATGCTCTTGCCCACACCACATCATTCACTGCTCCTATGCGTCACGCCCCCTGCTTGCATGGTACGAGTTGGGTGAACGCATAGCGTTTCCAGCCTACACTGCTGCTTCCTCCGCCATACCCATGCCACCTGCCTACCAGCACCCCTTGATGAGCACCTGTGGAACACGCGATTGATAATGTGCAGCAGCCACTTCTTGACCTTCCACCACGCCCACTGCTTGCGCTGCCCACACCTATGCCCGTACCCTCCAACTCCCCCCAGGCCCCCATGCCCCAGCATCCCTAGCAAGCCGTCACCTGTGGAACATGCGGTTGATGATGTGCAGCAGCCACTTCTTGACCTTCCACCACGCCCACTGCTTGCGCTGCTCGGGGTCCGACGGCTGCCCCTCCGTGGGCACAGGCCGCTCTAGCAGCGCGTGGAAGCACTCCATCCACGCCAGGAACACGCCCTCCTGCTGCACCATCTCGGGCACCTTGAGCTGTTGTTGGGGGATCGGGTGGTGACAGTGGTGGTGGTATGGGGGAGGAACGGAAGAGGAGAGAAGAAGGGCGAGTCAATCAGCACGTGGAAGCACTCCAACCATGCCAGGAACACGCCCTCCTGTTGCACCATCTCCGGTACCTTCAACTGCCAGCGGGATGTGAGGGATGGATTTCGGCAGAATAGGGAGATTGGGAGATGAAGAAACAATAAGATGGGGTGATGGGGGAGATGGGCGATGGGGGGATGGAGAGGAACGGACGATGGAGGAGAGGGAAGGGGTGGCACCACAAAAGAGTGGAGACTCATCCGTTCACGGCGCATTGCTTAAAGTCACATGGCTACTCACGCGGGTGATTAGTTCACGCAGCGGCACTCACGTAGCAGGCGGACCAGAAGATCTTGAGCACGAGCTTGATGTACTCGGCAATATCGAGGGAGGGGTTGGGCACGGCCAGCAGCTGCTGCAGAATGACCAGCAGCTGCGGGAAGGTGCTGGTTACCACCTCGTGCACCGGCACCCGATCCTCCTCGTCCTTGAACCTGCACGCCCATGGGGAGCGGGGGGGTGTGGAGGACGGAGAATGAAAGGAGTGGATGGCGGATGGCGGGTGCGAGCAGGGAAGAAAAAGGGCAGGGAAGGTACACGTGCCACGATTGCACGTACTCGTATTTGCGCGCGACCCATCACGCCCATCACACGTACTCGTATTTGCGCGCGAGCACGCGGACGACGACGAGCGCGCCGTAGACGCGCGGCTGGTCGGGGCTGTGCAAGTTGGCGAGCGCCTGCTGCAGCAGCGCCGGCATGCGGTCAGGGTAGTCGCTCTGTACCACCGCCTTGAGCACCTCGATCAGCTGCGACCTGCGGAGGGGCGGGAGCGGGGAAGAGGAGGGGGAATATGGAAGTTGCAGAGTTCAGCCATGAATCTTAGCAGGTTGGAAGACGCAGGACTACGAGTTGAATATGGGGATGCGCGGGCAGCAGGCGGCGAACCGAATGCGCGCATTGCAAGGGGGTGACAACCGCTCACCTGATGAGCGGCGGGCAGCAGATGACCGCTTCCACGAGGTTGTCCCGCACCGCCGCCACGTCACCCTCCGAGAATAGCGGCGAGCCTGCCGAGATCGCGGTGGAAGGAAAGCGTGCAGTTAGATTCAACGCTCAGCAGGCTACAGGAATCTTGTCACCCGCCAATCGCAGGCTATATCATCCACCCACCCCGATCCCATCCCTCGCCCTCGTCGGACAAGGATAGCCTCATACGTTATTGCACTCGAGTACCACCCGCTTCGTTACAAGACGGTCCGTTAGCTTCTTTCCCCGCAAACTATACCATATTCCGCTCTCCTCGCACAGCCGCATTCTCAAATTCGTTGTCAGGCACTGACTAGAACGACTAGCTTATAACGAGGAGAAGACTCACCTGCAGCGGCGGCCTCGGTAGCATCGGATTTAGTTCTCCAGTTGCGCGACACGGTGTTTTTGAAGTGAATGGCCGCCACCTGGCGGATCGCGAGGTCCACGTCAGCACGCACGACCATCTGTAGCAGCGCCACGAGATGCCCCTGCACGAACTGGTTCTGCCCATTCGGAACGAGGACGGGGGGAGCAAGCAGATGACGAAAGAAGTTAGTTTGGCGTCGCCTGAGAATGTGACAATGCGCGAACGCAGCGGCGGTTTGAACGGTTTCCGTCGACGGGGCAAATTCCTCGTTGTCGAGCACTGCTCGTGCTCCTCGATCATGCTTGCGTTCGGTCAAGCAAGTGGGATATAATGAAGCGAAACCCGGAGTTTCGGAACGCAAGAATATATACGAATTCAGCTAGTTGAGTTGTGAGAAAGGTCAACTATCGATTTGCTAAGAAAGGATGCACAGACGGGATGATATACGGACATGATGATCTACGGACAGAATGATCTACGGACATAATGATTCACCGAAGGGATGATCTACAAACGGGATGATCTACGAAAGGGATGATTTACGGACGGGATGATCTACGGACGGGATAAACTACGAGCGGGATAATCTACGGACGAGATGATCTACGAACGGGATGATTTACGGACGGACCTGCACGAGATGAGCCTCGCCGGCCTTGCGCTCCTCGGGATTGGCGCTGAGGGCCTGCTGCAGCACGCCGGACAGCTGCGCTAAATCCATGGCGGCGATATGCACGAAACACGCGGAGCAGACGAAAGTTGCAGATCCGCGCACGGGCAGACGAGGCTAGAGCGGGCTAGAATCTCGCAGGAGCAGAGATGCAACGCGTGCTGGCCTCGAGCTTGCCCAGGCAAAGAGAGTGCAACTGCGGAATTCTCGAGGAATTTGTTCTGTGAGGTTGCGGTGGGGGAAGACTCAGAAGTGATGGTTGCAGGGGGATGGACGGGATGGTATGGGATGGGATGGGTCACGGACTCACGGGTGTCAGCCAGGCATCCATGCTGTGATGTGCTGTGCAACCATCTGTGAGAGATTTGCCCGAGAAGGGAATGAGTTCCCAAGAAGAGCCTGACGGGTTCAGGGTTCAGGGTTTTTTTCGTGGAAAACTAGTGGCCCATGTGTGTCGCACACGGCGAGGCGGCGTGGGGTTGAGGGTGCCGTGGCGACAAGTCTACCACGGTTGCGACAGGTCTCACTAATGCTGGAACATTCTGCTCCAGTAACGGGGATGGCAAGTTGTTCTCCTGATATGGCTATTTGTGAACTTATAATGAAGACTTAATATCTAAGAACTGTAAATTACCCATGTGAACAGGTGTACCGTAGGAAGTGCCAATCCGCCCTACATGCTCAGGATGGGTCACAGGGCAGTTTCCCTAAGAAGACCAGGTTATCAGGCCTGGTAGCACATGACCAGGCAAACCCTGGAAGTTACATGCACCAAAATAACACCAGCGGATGTCCTCCCAGTTTCAGCTTTGATGCTGGATTACGGCCAGGCATCAATCCCTCATCCGAGTCTCCACAGGGAAGGGCTGCAATGGGAAGCCGCAACGAGAAACAACTTCATATCGAGGTGCTTCGCACCAAGAGGGGCACACTGAGAACCACAGTCACTTCACATTGTGGTGGTTCATGCAAGTGCAGCGACGGGTTCTTCAGCAGCAGGCGCCTTGGCTTCTGGCGAGTTGGCTTCGCTGGGCGGCACGAGCTGCCAGAAGAGCGGCAGGAACTTGTCCCACTCTGCCAGGATGGCAGCCGCCTTGGCACTGCCCGTCAGATCCTGCTCAGCACAAGGAGAGGGTGTGTGGGGGGGGGGGGGGGGGGGGGGGGGAGGAGATGCATGTGAGTGGGGAAAGTAGGGGTACTTGACTTGTATTAACACAATTACACCTTGCATGATGCCTTTGCCCTGCAATAAGGGCGACAGAGAAACAAGGTGGAGTGCAGGCACGGTGAGAGTTGGTGTGAGTGGGTGCAACAAGAGCGTACCGCATGGTCCTGGATGAGCGACTTGAGCTGCTCCTGGCCCCCTGGCGACACCACTCTCTGCATCGCCACAATCTCCCGGTTCACCTGACGAATCACATCGATGTAACCAGCCAGATACAGCAAGGGTTAGGAAGACAAATGCACTAGAAATTCCTGATGTGAAGAGAAGTAAATAGATGTGACGGGGGGACAGTCGAGACAGAGATATCACCAATACAAGGTAAGGAAGAGTGGGCAACAGACCTTGGGGGAGAAGGTGTCGTCCTCATCAAGGAAGTACCCGATGCCTCCCGTCATGCCTGCTGCCACATTGCGCCCCACCCTGTGGAACGCCGAGGGAAAAAAGGGGCCAGGGAGAGAGACAAGCGGTGAGGCTCAAACGTTGCCTGGAATGACAAGTGCATGCAGAACCAAACCCAACCCGTGACTCTCAATCCCCTAACCAAGGTGCCAGCCACCATGCACTCACAGCAGGGGCGAGCGGGTTAAGATATTTGGTCAATGCCGCATGCCCCCCCAATGTCACTGCTCTCCCGTGCCCGGGTGCCCCCATCCCCTCAATCCCCCAACCCGCCAGCTGGGACTCACTTGCCGAGCGCCACAACGGTGCCGCCAGTCATGTACTCGCAGCAGTGGTCGCCGGCGCCCTCCAGCACGGCCTGCGCGTTGGAGTTGCGCACAGCGAAGCGCTCCCCCGCACACCCGCGCACAAACAGCCGCCCGCCTGTGGCGCCGTAGAGACATGTGTTGCCGATGATGGTGGCTGTCTCGGCCTGGAAAGTCGCTGCCTTGGATGGCACCACCACTATCTGCCCCCCTGCCATGCCCTGCCACGCAGCAAGGTAGGTGGAAAGAAGGTTGTGGGGAGGGAATTCGAGGAAGAAAGGGCACACAAGAAAGGGTGTGTGTAGTGAAGGAGGAAAAGGCAAGAGTGGGCAGAACGGAAGAGGTTTCTGCCCAAAGTGCTGTGCAGACAGGTGTTGCAAATCTGGTGGCAAGACTCTGACTTTTCACACACTTATGAGCCTGCTCAAAGGAGTCTTCCAGTACCATGCCTAGTGCAGTACAAACCTCGCACACACACAGCACCAATCCACCTTCCCCACACAGCTGCTCGCCTCCCTTTCAAGTAAATTGTTCAGTCCTTACAACGTCCTGTTGCGACATGGTTGCCATTGAATCACCCTCTTTCTGAATCGCCTTCTTCCTAGCACGTACCTTGCCGACGTAGTCGTTTGCCTCGCCAATGAGCCGAATGTTCATGCCGCCTGCCAGGAAGCACCCAAACGACTGCCCTGCACTGCCCTTGAACCTGCGGACATACAGAAACACAAGGAGGGAAGAAGGTTTGCATGAGGGAAACGTGGGGCTTGATCTGGACAAGGCATATGCGGAATGGAGAGGCGTCACGTGGGTTGGAGAAGGGTCATCTGGGTCTAACGTATAGGGGACAGATTCTGAAGCTTGGTCTGCTGCATAGGGCACCCATAGTGAAGGGAGGGAGGGTGGGCAACATCAGAGGCGAAGGGAGTGATGCAGAGGAAAAGGGGCAGTGGGGCACTCACGTGATGTTGACAGCGCCAGTGAAGCCCGAGTCCCCATGGCGCTTGGCAATGGCGCCGGCCACACGGCCACACGTGGAGCGATCCGTGTTGACTATGGGCGTGGCTAGCTGCACCACCTTGTTCTGCTCTATGGCCGCCATTACCTGCTCGTTGGCACACAGGGGACACACGCAGGGCGCACAGGGGAGCACAAGGGGCAGGGCGGGCAGGGAAATAGAGTGGAGGTCAGTGAGCAGTCTGTGTTGACTATGGGCGTGGCCAGCTGCACCACCTTGTTCTGCTCTATGGCCGCCATTACCTGCACACGGGGAGAAGAGCGAGGGCTTGCGATTAGCAAAAAGACGTTCAGAGCAAGCAATGTCGACGGATACATGATGCATGTGTCACACGGATGTAGGGAGGGAGGCCAGCGAGATGCAATCACGTGGGGGGTGTATCATGTATGTATGGGAAAGGTGGGCATATGTTGGGGGTGGGGGTGCAACGCACGGTGGGGTTGGCGAGGAGGGTGTCGTCCAGCATGGGTCCGTTGGAGTGCACCTCCTGTGCCATGCGCTCCGTGCTGCTCGCTGCTGACACCCCGGGGTACTGCCATGTGCCGGGAGACGAGAGGAGGAATGGGTAGACAGTGAGGGGAAAGGGGGGGTTGAGAACACTGGCATGTTGGAGTGCACCTCCTGTGCCATGCACGCTGAGCTGCTCGCCGATGACACCCCCGGTACTGGTGGGGCGCCGTGGCATGGGGGAGAGGTGGGGCGAGACGAGGGAGGGGAGGTGTTGATGTTGTTAGTGAGGATGGAGGAGTAATGGATTCTGTAGGCATATGTACATGGCCATGTAACAGAGCAGTGAGGACATTGGGAAACGATGGCACGCATGCATGCACACGTGGAGGACAGGGCCATGGTGTGAGGTGCAAGGAGCAGCGTGCATGGCTGAGAGGGTGTGCAGGGGTGGGCGATGTGCATGCAGAGGCGAGGGGAAGCAGCATACAGTGAGGAGGTAGGAGAGGTCGATGGAGTTGGTCTTAGCAAGTGCCACGTCTCTGGCCTTGAGTGCGTTCACTCGCCCCACCAGCTCGTCCAAACTCTTCATGCCCAGCGATGCCAGCCCCACCCGCACCTGCAAGGTGCAGGGAGGAGAGAGATGGGCGGCAAAGGGCAGAGGTGGACGAGTGAGGAGGGGAGGCAGCCGACTAGCAGGGAACGGATGAGGGAATACCGAAGGAAGGGGCAAGAGGGAAGGGTTACATGCAGGCTGGTCCAAACTCATCATGCCTGAAGGAGAAGGAGAGCAACAGCAAGAGCAAGAGCGCAAGAGGGAGAGGGAGAAGGAGAAGGAGCGGACGAGGGCGAGGGAGTGGCACTGACCTCCTCTGCGACGAAGACAAAGTAGTTGACGAGGTCTGATGGCACCCCTGGGAAGCGCGCCCTCAGCTCCTCCCTCTGATGCGTGCGCACACACGCGTGGACAGTAGCAAGGTGGGGAGAGGCCATGAGGCAGACAGAAAGAAAGCGGAGAAATAAAAAAAGGGAGGTGAGAGGCTGACGCAAGCGGGGCACAGACGGACATGAGCATCAGAGAGAGTATGGAGGGAAAGGGGTAACGGGAGGCGGCACGTATGATGAGAACAGTATGAGGCAGCTGCCGAGAACCAGCAAAGTTAATCCAGAAGTTTCTGCAACAGGCGCCAGCAGGAAGTAATAGTAGCGTACCTGAGAGGCGACCCCCACAGGGCAGTTGTTGGTGTGGCAGATGCGGGCCATGATGCACCCCGTGTTGATCATGGCGAGGCGGAACGTACCTATGGTGGTACAGTGGTCGGGAATCTGAGGGGGAGCGGTGCTACCATACCTGAGAGGCAACCCCAACAGGGCAGTTGTTGGTGTGGCAGATACGCGCCATGATGCACCCCGTGGCGATCATGGCAAGCGACCCGAAGCCAAACTCGTCGGCGCCCATAGCAGCCGCCACGAGCACGTCTGTGCCGCACTTGATGCCCCCGTCCACGCGCAGCACCACGCGGTCCCTCAGACCGTTCGCCAGCAGCGTCTGGTTGAGAGGGAGGGAGTCGCGGGATCGAGGAGCAATGAGGAACAAGAAAGGGAGAAACGCCCATGTAGAGTGCAGCACTCCTGAGACTGGTGTGCTTCACAGAGCCCCACTCCCCTTGCCATATGTGCTTCACTCCGCCCCATCCCACTCGATGCATTTCACTCCATCCCATCCCACCTGGTGCGTCTCGGTGAGACCCATCTCCCAGGGTCCGCCAGCGTGCTTGATGGAGCTGATGGGGCTGGCGCCCGTGCCACCATCGTGCCCCGAGATCTAAATAATGCCCCACCTGATGCGCCCCACTCCACCCCATCCCATCCCACCTGGTGCGTCCCACTCAGCCCCATCCCATCCCACCTGGTGCGTCTCAGTGAGACCCATCTCCCAGGGCCCGCCAGCATGCTTGATGGAGCTGATGGGGCTGGCGCCCGTGCCGCCATCGTGGCCTGAGATCTGGATGATGTCCGCATTGGCCTTGGCCACGCCGCTCGCCACTGTGCCGATGCCTGCCTCCGCCACCAGCTTCACGGACACCTTTGCCGCTGGGTTCACCTGGGTGAGTGGGAGAGATTAAGAAGAGATGGGGAGGAAATGCAATAAGCTTTGGGTGCAATCAAAAGAAATGCAATAAGCTTTGGGTGCAATCAAAAGAAATGCAATAAGCTTTGGGTGCGACCAAAGAAATGCCCGCCTCCGCCACCAGCTTCACGGACACCTTCGCCGCTGGGTTCACCTGGATGGGTGAGAGGGGTTTGAAAGGATATGGATGAGGAAGGGATGGGAGGAGAGATCTGAATGATATCCGCATTGGCCTTGGCCACGCCACTCGCCACTGTTCCAATGCCCCGCCACCAGCTTCACTGACACCTTGGCCGCTGGGTTTACCTGGGTGGGTGAGAAGAGAGTGCAAGGAGATGGATCAGAGCAAGACAGAGTGAGTGGAACCTAGGTGTATTTGCGTGCATGTGATACGGTGCTTTGCTTTTAGAAGAGAGGATGGGAGCTTTGATGACACACGTGTACCAAAGCCTGTGCCCCCACCTGGTGGAGGTCTTCAATGGAGTAGATGTCATGGTGGGGCGGGGGCGACATGAGCGGCATGCCAGGCTTGGAGATCCGGAGCTGCGCAATGTAGGGCGACACCTTCCCCGGCAGCTGCCCACCTTTGAGGCGCCTCTAAACTCACCTGGTGCAGGTCAAAAATCAATTGGGCGAGGTCTTCAATGGAGTAGATGTCATGGTGGGGCGGGGGCGAGATGAGCGGCACGCCAGGCTTGGAGCTCCTGAGTTGGGCAATGTAGGGCGACACCTTCTTCCCCGGCAGCTGCCCTCCCTCCCCCGGCTTCGCCCCCTGCGCCACCTTGATCTCCAGCTGATCCGCATTCGCCAGGAACGTCGGCGTCACTCCAAACCGCCCCGACGCCACCTGCTTGATCGCGCTCGTCGCCTTGTCGCCGTTCCTCAAGCCCTTGAGATGGGGAAACGTGGGCGACCGCCCGTCTGCATCGACATCCTCCAGCTCGACCCACCGCATCGGGTCCTCTCCGCCCTCACCCGAGTTGCTCTTCCCGCCCAGCCGGTTCATGGCGACCGCAATCACCTCGTGGCACTCCCTGGAAATGGCACCCAAAGACATGCCTCCCGTGCAGAACCGCGTGGCGATCGATGCAGCCGACTCCACCTCTTCTAAGGGAATCGCCGTGCGGCTCGCAGTGTCGAGCTCGAGCAAGTCACGGAGGACGTTGACAGGGCGCGTGGCGAGGTGGGCCTGGTAGGCGGAGTAGGCGGTCTGCTCCCCCTGGCGCACGGCCTTGTGTAGCAGCTTGCTCATCTCGGGGTTGTTGCTGTGGTACTCGCCGCCCTGCCTCACCTGCAGGAAATCGTCCGAAATGTTCCAGCGAGCAGCAGTTTAGGAGAAGGTTCAGCAAAGGAAAGACTGTTGTTATACAAAAAAGCTGGCTAATTCGCGTAGGGTGTATCAAACCCGGAGCTCTTCACTAAGCAGTGGTTAAAACACGGACAAACATGTTTCGGCTGGTAGGGAAGCCCCTAGCAAGCGTGCACCAGCTTGCTCATGTCGGGGTTGCTGCGGTGGTACTCGCTGCCCTGCCTCACCTGCAGGAACCCCATGTTCTCCAGCTTGCCCTTGCCCTCCGCGCCAAACCCCTTGGCCCAGAATGTCAGGCTCTCGTTCGCAAGCTGGGGAAACGATGGGGGCAGGAGGGACGGGAGAAAGGTGTCATGAACCTTGGTAGACGGCAAACACCCTGTGTCCACAGCACAGCATGGCACAGTAGAACATCTGCTGGAAAAAGGAGAATGAAAAAGCAACGCAGCCCTCACCTCGTCGAGGGTGAGTCCCCCAATGCGGGAGACGGAGCCTTTGAAGGCGCGGTCCACGACCGGGGCGCCGAGCCCATAGATCTCAAAGATCTGCGCGCCACAGTAGCTGGACAGCAGCGAGATGCCCATCTTCGACAGAATCTTCATCAGCCCCTTCTCTATCGCCTGCAGTTAAGGCACACACGGAGAGATGGGGAATTTAGTAAGTTCAAACTCAGCTGGCGGCTGTCAAATATTAATTTGGCCACTAACAGCAATGAGCCATGCGACCACGTTGCAGTAACAGCGCAAGCAGCAACGGACACTCCACCTTGCGGTAGTTGAGCTGGGCCTGCTCCGAGGTGAGGGAGGGCAGCTTGGCCACAAACAGCAATGAGCAATGAGCCCACCTTGCACTAACTACGCCAGCAGTAGCAGACCCACCTTGCGGTAGTTGAGCTGAGCCTGCTCCGAGGTGACGGAGGGCAGCTTGCCAAACGTCATGAGCTTCTGCGTCTTCTCACTCGCCCGCCACTGCCGCACAGTCTCCAACGCGCCATACGCACACACAGCACTCGCCCCGTACCCCACAAGGCACGCAAAGTGGTGTGTGCTGAAACACTGCGCCGTCTCCACCACTATCGACGCATGAAGACGCTTCCCAGTGCGAATCAAATGGTGGTGCACGGCGCCCACGGCCAATAACGCCGGGATCGCCGGCCGGGTGGCGTCGAGCTGGTCGGCGTTGTCCGACAGCACTAGCAGCTGCGCTCCGGAGTCGACAGCAGCGTCAGCAGCGGCGCAGAGGGCGTCGAGGCCGCGGGAGAGAGCGCCATCCACGCCCTGGGAGACATCGAAGAAGATGGGCAGGCGCGCTGCTGCGAGCTGCTTGTCGTCCATGAGCTCCTGCATCTCCGCCTCGTTCAACACTGGCGAGGTCAGGCGCACCTGGGAGGGAGCAGGGGGAAGAGCAGAGAGAGTGGGGTGAGCAGAGTGAGTGGTGTGAGCAGAGTGAGTGGTGAGGTTAATTATAGGCAGCACAAAGTGCTGCTGCGAGCTGCTTGTTTTCCATGAGCTCCTGCATCTCCGCCTCGTTCAACACTGGCGAGGTCAGGCGCACCTGGGAGGGGGCAGGGGAAAAGAACAAATAGGAAGGGAAATAGAAAGAGGATTGGAGTCGTGAGCGGAAGCATGGCGGTGGCTGCTGCTGCCTGATGCCTGGCAGATAAATTGATACATACGCCAAACCCACATCATCCCACCGGCCCACAGGTATTGGTATGCAGCATAACCCCTCACTCCCACCCAACCCCAAATCCCCTTCCCCCACCTCCCTCCCACAAACTATGCCAGCAGTGCACGCACCACGTTGGCATGCTCGGCACCGACATCAAGGATGTTGTCTCGCCGCCCCAGCGCAATCTCCAGAGACATCACCAGGCCCTCGCGCAGGGGGTCGATGGCCGGGTTCGTCACCTGCAGAAATGAGGGGTTTAGGGGGGGGTGGGGAGGGGGGAGGGGGAAAAGGTGGTGGGTTGGGCGAGAGGTACAGTTTGAGCTAAGCTATGCACGAGCCAGCTTAGGGGCAAAGAAGAGCCGTCTCTACAGTAAAAAAAAAAAGCTTTCTTGGGGTGGTGGGAGCGGGGCGTCAGTAGAACGGACCTGGGCGAAGCGCTGCTTGAAGTAGTTGAAGAGGAGGTGGGGGCGCGCTGAGAGCACGGGGAGGGGTGTGTCATCGCCCATGCAGAAGGTGGGCTCGATGGCCTGCGCTGCCATGCTCTCTATCACCATCACCACGTCCTCACTCGAATACCCGTACGCACTGTTGTGGGGATGTGGGAAAGGGGTGAGGGGAAAGGGGTGAGGGGAAAGGGGGGCGGGCAGAGGGAGCCATGCTCTCTATCACCATCACCACGTCCTCACTTAAGTACCGCGCACACTGTTGGGGGTTTGAGTGGATGGGGGGTGGTGAAGGATAGTATGGTGGTTTGTGGTAAAGAACTGTTGGCGTGGGTTGGGAGATTTGACCGGGATATGGGAAAGTAACGGACACGTGGAAAGACGGCACAGGGGGGCAATTAGGGGAGGTGCGTGTCGTCGCCCATGCAGAAGGTGATGGCCTGGGAGCATGATGGTTGGTGACCAAGGATCAATGGGTTCGGGTTGGGAGGTGAGAGTGGGATACGGAGTAGAGTCGGACATGTGGAAAGACGGCACTGGGTGGCGAGCCCTAGGAGGGGAGGAAGTCAATTACAGCAATTATGAAAGAGAGAAGAGGCATGTGAGAGAACAGGAAGGCGGCGGGCAGACAGCAAAAGGGGAGCGAATAGCAGGGTGTGGCGTATAGTGTGGGGTGTGTGGAGGAGGGAGGGGGAGTCGGCGAATGGGAAGGGGGGAAGAGGGGGATGGGCTCACTTCTGCCTGCGGAGCACCTCGTCAGGGGAGAGGGCTGGCTCAGCAGCGAATGGCATGGGGACGATCTGACGTGACTGGTGGCACACAGAGAACAGCACAGGGGCGAGCGGGTGGGGGTAAGGGGGGAAACGGGGAAGGGGGAATAATTGCGAGCAGAGAGAAGCGGGGAAAGGAAAGGATAGAATAGGGAACAGAGAGAGAAGCTTGATGCTCGAGGGACACATGATCCGGGCTGGATATGGTGGTAAACATAACACCATCAACTACCGGGCCAGCTCGGACTCTCTGGCACGCCATCACATGCGCCCAAACGCACTGACCTCCTTATCGAGCCACTCCTTGAAGGGGTGTGCGTTCGCCACCTGCCTCTTAATAGCTGTGTTGGACAGCACCTGGGAAAGGGATGGGGAGGGAGGGAGGGAAGGAGGTGCAGGGGCAGGGGAGATATTAGAGAAAGATGGGGGGGCGAGAGTGTGAGTCAGGTTGTCAACTCCTTGAAGACCACATACCTCCTGCAATGCTTGCTTCAACACAGCACAGCACAGCACAGCACAGCACAGCACAGCACAGCACAGCACAGCACAGCACAGCACAGCACAGCACAGAACAGCACAGCACAGCACAACACAGCACAGCACAGCACAACACAGCACAGCAAAGCACAACACAGCACAGCACAGCACAGCACAGCAGTCTCTCACCTCGCCGGTGTGCAGGTCCACGGAGATCATCATGCCTGGCCCCAGACGGCCCTTGCTCACAATGGTCGCCTCGTCCATGTTCAGCACTCCCACCTGCCAAGAGGAGGCGGAGGGGGCGTGGAGGAGAGGTGGGGAGGGAGCACAGTGGTATCACATGGTACAGAGATCATCACACCTGGCCCCACACGGCCCTTGCTCACAATGGTCGCCTCGTCCATGTTCAGCACTCCCACCTGCCGAGAGGAGGTGAGGAGGTGACGGGGAGACGGGGAAGGGGTGGGGATTGAGCAGAGTGGTAACACATGGTGAGTGTGCAGGGCGCACCCATACGACTCCTCCACGCTTAAGATGCCCACTCACCACTCATTCCAGGCAGGGAGGAGGGGAAGGGGAGAAAGAAGGCCAAGGCTGCAACGCAGTCAACAATGTCAAGGGCTTAGGTGTAATGAGGGGCAAGGGAACACGAGGGTGCAAAAGGGAGCTGCAAGGACTCAAGGAGCACACGGGGGTGGGGGCAGGGGACGCACCTCAGAGGCGACGTAGAGCATGTCATCGTTGGTCCTCCAGTACCTCGCCGGGCGCAGCCCATTGCGATCCAGACACGCTCCCACTGTCCTCCCGTTGCTGCAGATCACAAGAAGTGGGTGGACGAGATGGGAGAGAGACATAAAAGCGCAGTTTGGCATCAGGGTTGGGTACAAACTGGACACTGATGTGTCGGTGTGAGAAACTATCCGGTTTGGAGATCATGCAGCAGGGGAATGGGGAGACGCAGGCACACACGAGGCGGGGTTACCTGAAGACGAGCAGGGCGGGTCCATCCCACGCCTCCATCTGCGACTTGTAGTACTCGTAGAAGCTCACCACCTGTTGAAAGAAAGAGTGTGTGGCATACGGGGGAACAGAGTTGAGTGTCTTTTGTTCTCTTCTTACCTCTATTATGACGAATTATGGCTCAGCAACCAGAAAGCGACCTAGCTTGGCTTGAGACACTACGCCCATCCGGGTCTGCACGCTCTTCAAACAAAGTACAAGGGGAAATGCCTGTGAGGTGACATGACTGGAGACACGTACCTCGGGGTACTTGGCGGAGAGCGTGGGGTGGTTTTGGTAGGCCTCAGGCACGAGCATCATCAGCACCTCCTCCGGCCGCCTGCCACTGTTCAGCAGCAGCTGCGGACCCAGGGAGGCAGGGAGGGAGGGACGGAGGGAGGGAGAAGGGAGAAAGGAGAGAGAAAGACAGAGATAAGGTTATAGCGGACGTGGGAGGTGGGATCATGGGGTGAGGGAATAGGGAGAGTGACGAACGTTCATGAATTGCACTTCTTAGAAACTTCTCCTTGCGGTAACGTAACACCTTCTGAACCATGCAATTCACAATCAAACAACCCCTGCAACCAGACGTCCTCCCTCCCACCACCCAGCACCATCACTCCATCCACCCATCACAGCCCCTCACCTCAGCAACACCATCCAGATTAGCTGAGTCAGACGCAGCGAGGTTAACCACAGGGAAAATATCCGCCTCCCGCCCGCGCCACACAGGGGACGTGAGCGTGGGCTCGCGCGACACCATCCAGTTCAGGTTCCCCTGCAGCGTGTTGATCTCGCCGTTGTGCCCCAGGAACCGCATGGGCTGCGCCAGGAGCCACTTAGGCGTGGTGTTGGTGCTGAACCGCCGATGATAGATGGCAAACGGGCTGCGGAACAGCTCGTTCTTCAAATCCGCGTAAAACGCCCCGACGACAGCCGCGCGCAGCATGCCCTTGTAGATAATCGTCTTGCTGGACAGCGAGCAGAAGTACAGGTCGTTCAAGGGATGATCTGTTGTTGGCACCCCTGCTGCTGCTGCCTCTGCTGCGATGGTGCGCGTGACAGTCTTCTCGATGAGCTTTCGGAGGATGTAGAGCTCGCGCTCAGTGTCGTCGGGGGCGAGGCCTGGCACGGAGAGCACGAGCTGCTGGATAGTGGGCAGCGTGACGCGCGCGAAGGGCCCCACCACGGCCTCGTTGACTGGCACTTGCCGCCACCCCACCACCTCCAGCCCGTGCCCCTCCTCCTTGATCACCGCCTCCACCACTGGGACGAGGATGGGGATTGACGGGCAAGAGGGGCGAGACAGAAGGCGGTAACAGGTGTGAGACAAGACACGACATAATGAGGAGGGAATTCACTGGCACCTGGCGCCACCCCACCACCTGCAGCCCATGCCCCTCCTCCTTGATCACTGCCTCCACCACTGGGAAGACGACGCACGGTTACAGGCGCAAGGAGAAGAGTGTGAGACGCTACGTAATGAGTCGGAGAAGGCAGAGTGTGGCTATAGATGGCAGTCCAACTAAACCCTGAACCCTCGAGTGACTGTCCTTGTCAGTGCTCACTTCCGCTCCGCCACTTATTTCGGTTGTATTTCACATTTCCGTAAATTACACGAACATTAAGGCTGCGCCCGTCCCTCTTCTCTTCCATTTCGCACACTCTCTCCCTCTCGCCAGTCCAAAGTCGCCGAGTCCTACTCTCCTGCTCCTGTCGCAACACTCCGAGCCTAACTTGCTCCCAAGTAGGAAGCGTCGCGACAGCGGTTTTCTCCACGACATTCGCATGGAGTGTTACTTTGCCCCTTAACGCGTCGACTGGACTGGTGAGCATGCACGCCCATGGTAGCGTGCACTGACTGTTGTATTCCTCCCTCCTACGGTTTCAAACAGGCGTTTTTTTTCTTACCCATAAAGCTCAATTCCCTCCTCTATGCGATTAAAAGCTCACGTTTCTTGGCGGTCTCGGCGTCGCTCTCTTTTTTCGGCAGGAACACCATGCCCACGCCCGTCGCGGCGCGGTCGAGCGGGCCGCGGCCGTTCTCCTGCTGCCAGCTGTCGAGAAGATCCCACGGCACGGCCGTCATGAGCCCCGCGCCGTCGCCCGAGTCATTGTCGGCGCTGCACCCGCCGCGATGCTCCATGCACCCCAGCGCCGTCAGACCCTGCGCGGGAGAGCGTACGGAAAGGGAAAAAGGGATCACTGCTGAACTAGTGTCGGCGCTACAGCCTACTCGGTACAGACAAGCTGCGAGCAGGGAAGGACACGACCGTTGTTAGAGTAGATGGCAGCGTCGCATGCAGACTAAGACGAGGAGCGGCACGGACGAGGAGGTAAAAGGAAATTTAGAGCTTTTAGTGAAGGGTGTCGACGGCGAAACAGCCGAGAAACACGGGAAGATGAACACGGAAACATGAAAAATGAGCTCAGCATTATTAAAGTTTGACTGCAAGAACAGCGATACCTGCTCGATAATCTTATGCGTGGACTCGTTCTTTAGCGATGCGATCAGGCCGACACCGCACGCTCCATGCTCTTTAAGGAGCTCCTCCGCGTCCGCCACCTGCGGATGTCCAAAACGAAGCAAGGCATGCATGAATCAACAAAATTGAGATGCCACGCGAGACGGTTCCTCATTCGAAGCTCTTCACCAGTAGCGTACAAATCAGCTGCATTTCAAAAAGGTCGTGTGGCGTACTATTAGTAACCAAAGATCGACAGAATAAGGTAAAACAATTCGCAAATCGCACAGTCGCCAACTCAGACGAAGGGGAAACCTACCTCATAGGCCTTCTCGACGTCATCCGTCGCAACATTTGCCGTCGAGTACACCGCAGTCGCACGCGACAAGTTAAAGCGACGGCTTGCGACATTGGTCGTATCACGAACGGCCACGCGTCTGCAGACAGCAGCACCGGAGAGAAACCTAGACCTTGCGTGCACTGCCACGGATGCTCCGAAAAACGACGACGCCTTTCCTCCCTTCTTCCCGCTAGTCGTCTGAAGATCGGCTAGAGTTTGAGTACCTCGCGCGAGCAACACTGACTGCTTTAATACCGCTGTCGCCATGGACGGTGACAGGTAACTGCTCGGTCAGGTTTAGGCGAGCGTCGGTGCTCGTGCAGAGAATTCAGCCGTCAGGGAGAAAGCAGCCCTGTGGGCCTTGCAGAAGCTTGCGTTACAGCAGAGCAATCTTAGGCAAGCATGCAGGCTAGAAAACTGGGGAAGAGGAAAGCGTTTGTGCTTTATCTTTCTGCCAGGAATGAAGGTTGGTGGTTGATGGGAGCAGAGCGGAATGAGAAGAGGCGGACCTTGGGGTCCCCAAGTTGGGGATTTGGTTGAGGAAGGGGGAGCTTGGGATTGGTGGCTTTATTAATTGGCTTCAAGCCTTGGGATCTGTGTGGTGGTGACATGCTGGTGTACTGTATCGGGGTTGTTGTAGTAAAATGCTTCGGGATTGGATGAATTTGACGGCGAGGCAGGCAATTGTGACAATGTGTGTCTCCCTTCGCAAATTTCAGGAATTGAGGTCGGTTCAATAGGAGGGTACAGCACGTACATGCACACTGATCAGCCAGCAGAACACATCTCTCAGCTTACACATCTGTCCTCTCATTGGTGGTATTAATGTCATCGTGGCGTACCTCGAGTGGATTGACTGACCACGAGGAGCTCAAGCTACACGCGCATCCAGTAATCTTCCCAGCAAGGGGTCATAATGACGTGGTGATGCAGATGAAGGCCCATCATGTATCGGATGCGTTACGCTGGTCGCATTTGGATCATCCAAACAGGAAGGTTTTGATCCACACGAATGTGGAGACTGGAACTCACTCGTATAGAGCTCCACACTTGATGTTACACGCTCAATACTGTCATAAGCTCTAGACCAGGGCAATGGTTGAGTATTGCAAGTGTGTAGATAGGTGGCTCTCCACCAACCCACCCACATACGGTATAAGTACCCCGCAATGTCCCTCCTCTCCTTACGCATGCATGCTCGCTGCTTATGTCCTGTTTGCACCATGCGACACATCCCTTCATTGCTACCCTGTACACTGTCCCAAGTTCCTGGCACTGCCACTGCTGCAGTGTTAAAATGTCCCAAGTTTCTGGCACATGCACTACTACTGCAGTGATTTAATATCCCAATTTCCCGGCACTGCCCCTACTTCCGCAGTGTTTTAATGTCCCAAGTTCCTGGCACTGCAACTACTACTCCAGTGTTCTGACATCATAAGTTCCTGCCACTGCCACTACTACTGCAATGCTCTACTGTCCCAAGTTCTTGCCACTGCCGCTGCTGCTGCAGTGCTCTAATGTTCCACGTTCCCGGCACTGCCACCACTACTGCAGTGTTCTAATGTCCCAAGTTCCTTGCATTGCCCCTACTACTGCAGTCCTCTAATATCCCAAGTTCCCCCCATTACCACTACTACTGCAGACTGCAGTGCTCTAATGTCCCAAGTTATTGCCACTGCAGCTGCTAATGCAGTGCTCTATTTTCCCAAGTTCCTGCCATTGCCGCTACTACTGCAGTGCTCTGTCAGAATAATTGTGCATGAATGATTGGATTAGGGCGTATTCCTATCCTCGTATCAAGAAAACCTCATATCAAGATTGTACTTTTTGCCTGGTAAAAGTAGCGAGAGGTTTTGAATTTAGGGGAATTTTCAGTGGGAGGTTGATATGAGGTTTTCTTGATACGAGGATAGGAATACGCTCTTAGCAAGAGTTGGGGTACAAGTACTGACCCTAGAAGTGCTGTACTCCATAAGGAGTGTCCAACTATAGGCTACAAGCAAGATTGTATTTTGACACACCCCCATAGGCTGAGTGGGGGACAACAAGACGGTCCCAAGACCAGTCAAGCAAGACAACAGAGCAAAGCAAAACAAAGCTCATGATGGATCTCAAGGACACCACACAATATGAGCACAAGCAAGCGGCTACAAGGGTAGTTCACAAGCAGAGTTATAATAGCAAGTTAGTACACTGATCACAATCTAGCAAGAGTAAACAAGCAGTTATAAAGATATATATCAGTGTACAACAAGAGCAAGTCAAGCAACCAGCAGGTGAGGCAGAATGGGCACAAGCCCAAGAGCAGTGCAGAAATGCTGATGATCACCAGACCCAAGGGCCTCGGTGAACACATCAGCAGTGTTGGCCCGCGGGGCCACGTATGAAAGGCGGAGCTGACGACGCTGCTGCAGCTCACGCGCAAGGAAGTAGCGAAGAGCAATGTGCTTCGTTCTGTGCTCCAGTCTCTGCTCGTGAGACAAGGCAAGCATTGCCTTGTTGTCGACGTACAGAACTGGAGGAGAACGAGGCCGCTCTCCTAAGTCGGTCAGCAGGTAGGTCAGCCAGCGTAGCTCCTGTGCAGCCATGGCCCTAGCAAATATCTCGGCCTCACAGCTGGAGCCAAGCACAGAAGAAGAACGAGTGGACCTCCACGAGACAGAACTAGAGCCAAGACTGAAGGTGTAACCCTATGACAAACGCTCAGTCGCCTGGTTGTCGGCCCAAGAAGCGTTGGAGTGTCCTGTGAGTACCACGCACATTTCGGTGTCTACCAAGAGCCACGTAGCGAGCCAGAAGGCTGAGAGGGTACGCAAGGTCATGTCGTGTGCACGTCATCAGGTACATGAGGCAACCACAAGCTCTAGGTACAGACCACTCGGCTCCACGGACTCGTCCGAAGGTGGAGCTGAGAGCGAGTGGCCGGTAGACAGAGGAGTGGGCTGTAGCGAGGAGAACTGGAAGCCGAAGCGCTGAAGGACCTGGTGCACCATGTGTGACTGAGTTAGGGTGATGGTGCGCCATGCTCTGTCCCGGGTGATCTGCAAGCCAAGATAGCTACGCAGCTCACCCAGGTCAGTGCAGGTGTGTCTCTCCTGCAGCTCCGCCTTCACTAGGGCCAGCGCCTCAGTGTCAGCAGTAGCAAAACCAAGTCGTCGACGTACACTAGAACGTAGAACGGCGGCAGGGTAGTGTCGGTGCGTAGAAACAGCGACGGGTCAGCAGAGGAAGGAGCAAACCCAAGAGCCGCAATTGTAGTCCTCAGTGTGTCGTGCCACTCTCGGGGCGCCTGGCGGAGACCGTCGACTGGTCGCCGGAGGCTCCGCTGGGTACCCGCAGGAAACGACCCAGTGAAGCCGGGTGGGCGGCGCAGCCAGATCTCCTCGTGAAGGCTGCCCTGCAGGAAAGCTGTGGAGAAGTCGAGGGGCTGCAGCTCGTAGTCACGCTGTGCTGCAACGTGCAGCAGCACTCGAAGAGTAGTCATCTTTGGGGTGAGGGAGAAGGTCTGGAAGTAGTCAACCCCCTGTCGCTGACTGAAGCCTCGAGCAACGTAACGCGCCTCGAAGGCAGGCGGAGAACCCGGCGGCCGCTTCACTATGAAAATCCACATGCCATCGACTATGTTCGCCCCAGGAGGAGGAACCTCATGGACGTAGGTGCATGTGGACTTCTAGGAAGCCATCTCTGCGTCCATGGCGGTCTGCCACTGAGAGGAGTACTCACCCGCGATCGCCTCAGTGTAAGAGCGCGGGGTAGGGATGTCAAGTGCATCTGGGTCTCCCTCAGGGCAAAGCAGCATGGATGCGAAACGAGGTAAAGCGGCTGCAAGACACTCAAGCTCAAACTGTCTGTCCTCAAGTACGTCATTGCTAAGGGCAGGCTCACCCCCGTCGGACGAAGGACAAACAGACCCAGACTCAGTAACAAGACTCGCGACGTAGTCGAGACGACTCCTAGCTGCAAAGTCGACTAGCTCAGTGACTAGGGCAAACGCTGCATTAGACTCAAGGTCAGGGTCAGTGACGACAGTAGCGAGGAGACAAGTGACAGTAGGACTGGCAGCACGAGCAAGGTCGGACTTAGGGGCAGGAACGTGTGGGAGAGAGGACGCGGGAGGCTCAGGCAGGACAACACGCTGTGGAACAGATGAAGGACGAAGTGCCATACCGTGAGTGCCTGGGACCGCAGGAGGACGAGGACGGGCGACACCACGAGCACGAACAGGTGTGGAAGCACGAGTCTCAGGCTCACGACGCTCAGTCACGGACTCTGTCACCTTAGTGTGAGGAGCAGGAGCAGGCAGCGGGGAGCCAGGCAGTAGCTGTGGCTGAGACTGGTCTTTCGGTGGACACAGGAGAGGTGGAGTGAGGCCAGTGGAAGAAGGGAGACTAAGAACCTGGGACGATTGCGGCTACAGGTAGAAAAACAGTCGGCGCGGGGCAGAACCAGCAGCTCCAGCTCCTCCAGCACTAGCAGCACCAGCTCCTCCAGCACTAGCACCTCCAGCACCTCCAGTACCTCCAGTACCTCTAGCTCTAGCGCCTCCAGAACCAGCAGTACCTCCAGCACCTCCAGTGCCAGCAGCTCGAGTAGCAACTCCAGCACCTCCAGCACCAGCAGCACTACCTGCTCCGGCAGCTCCAGCACCTCTAGTACAAGCACCTCCAGGACCAGCAGCTCCAGCACCTCTAGTACCTGCAGTACCTCCAGCTCCAGTGCCTCCAGCACTAGCAGTACCTCCTGCTCCGGCAACTCCCGCACCTCTAGTACGAGCACCTCCAGGACCAGCAGCTCCAGCAGCTCCAGTACCTCCAATACCTTCCAGCTCCAGTGCCTCCAGCATCAGCAGTACCTCCAGCACCTCCAATGCCAGCAGCTCCAGTAGCACCTCCAGCACGAACAACACCACCAGCTCCGGCAGCTCCAGCACCTCCAGTACGAGCACCTCCAGGACCAGCAGCTCCAGCACCTCCAGTACCTCTAGCTCAAGCACCTCTAGCACCAGTAGCACCTCCAGCACCAGCTGTACCTCCAGGACTAGTAGGTCCAGCACCTCCAAAACTAGTAGCACCTCTAGGACTAGTAGCTCCGGCACCTCCAGCACCAGTAGCACCTCCGGCACCTCCAGCAGTACCTCCATTACCTCCAGCACTAGCAGTACCTCTAGAGTCAGCACCCCCAGTCGCAACACCCCAAGAACCAGCACCCCCAGTCGTAGCACCCCCAGAACCAGCACCCCCAATCGCAGCACCCCCAGTTGCAGCACC